TCAAAAAGCCCGGAATTTTTCTACACAAATTGTTTTAAATTTTTCCCATGTACTGAGTTGGCGTAAAATTTAGTTCGCACCATATTTAAAGAATCATAGCCATTCTACCTCTCGACAGATTTGCACAAACCTAATTCTTCTAGGTACAGGAACCATTTTCTTTGTGAAACGCCTTGATTGCTTTCAATGAGGGGGAGCTCTTGAGATAGAAACAGCAGAATAAATTCACTTTAACTTCAGTCGTTTTGAGTTAGGTCGTTGAAAATCTAAAACTCGCGATAAAATCCGTAGCAATCTGCAATATAAGTCTTTTGATCCACTTTCCAACGGTACAAAGTTCATAACAAATGAAAATCTCCGTGACGAGTTATGATTTTCGAAAAAAAGGCAAAAAATCAGATTTGCTATTTGTATTGCTTGCTATAATATTATAAGTCTTTACAAATAAAAACTTATTCAAAAACTCTGTATTGTCGGAGGTTGGGCTATACACATACATATATTGCAGCTTGCTCTGATTTTCGATGCGAGTTTCAGATTTTTGGCAGCTTAACTCGAAAAGATTAAAGCTGAAGTGGATTTATTCTCATACATATTTTTTTACGGCTACCCTTACCAGAGAGCAAAAAACGTAGTGTTACAAAGAATGGTTTTCACTGTTTGGAATCTTAAGTTTGTGCAAATCCGTCAAGAAAGCGAGAAGTCATGATTTTTCAAATATGTTGCGAACAAACTTTTGCACCAACTAATAATTTCCGGAGAAAAACACAAATTACGTTGTCATAGCTGCAATTTTGCAAGTCACTTTTTTGTCAAAACAGCAATAACAATCGAAGAATGTAATAAAACTTCTTGGCAAAACTCTAACTTACCTCAGTTTTTCTTCATCCAGCAGTTCCATAAGCTCCACACTCGTCTCATCGAATCTCCGTCGATCACTCGAATCAATCACATAGATCAGTGCATCAGTATTTTCAAAGTAATTGCTCCAGAATGGTCGAATCGATCGTTGGCCTCCAATATCCCAAACATTCAGTCGAATATCTCCATTTGTGACCACACTCTTCACATTGAATCCTCGAGTCGGGGTTACATTCGTGATTTCTTCAGCCGATAATTGCTTCAGAATGCTCGTTTTGCCAGCGTTGTCAAGGCCAAGTAGTAGAATCCGAATTTCACGTCCATTATTAGATTTGAATGATTTGATAATGTCGAGTAGTCCCATGTTTGGGAGATTTTATAGGAATTAGAACTGAAAAGAATCGAAGGGATGCCGGGAGCGAAAGAAGCTGGTCTGGCACGATTTCTCCATGGCAACCGCGCAGCAACATGGCGACAAATCTATTTCTATGAATTCTTCAGGGCAGGTTGGCGGATAACCGCATTTTTCTAAAAATTATCTTTAGTATAGAACTAAGATGTAAAACATCTCAGCAGTTAACAGAAATTGCTAATTTAATATCGGACAATGGAAAATAGCGCACAACGGTGACAGAGAACAAGGAAAATAAGGATAAAAATAAATAGAGCAAAAACAAACGAAGAATAATGAAAGAAAGTTCATATGAAACTGCGCAATTGGCTGTCTTTACTCATTGAAACTTC